GATGACTGATTAATAAAAATAACAGAAATTAATTTAAAACATAAGGAACAATTACGAATACAAGCAGAGATTTAGTATATTTGTACAAATTACATTGGCATACTATATTGATTAAAATATTATTATTGTTTATTTTATGTTCAGTTTTGAATCGCAAAACTCGCACAAGACTGTCAAAAGAAGAAAATAAACAACGCGAAGAAACTAAGAAGATAACAAAACGTAAAGCTACTCAACTAATATCTTAGTTTAGGTTTAATATTCAAGTAATCAATGCCAATTTTTTAATATAATAAAATGTATTTGTAATGTTATAATGTTAATTATAAAAACATGAGAAATAAAAGCGATTTTTAAGGAAATCGGTGTGAGAAGGTATGTTTTGATTTTTTCCGGAGTTTTCTCAACAAATTTATTAAACCAAAAAAAAAAAAAACTAGATTTTTGTATAAAATATACATGTTTATTATGAACGGCCCCGCAAGATTTGTAGAAAATAATATGTGGCTCGCTGCATGAAAGGATTGAAGTCATCTTGCTTTAATGGTCTATATAAATATATATATATATATATATATATATATAATTAATTTCTATTTGAATGTCTAACAGAGTAATCGTCACCATTATTATATTTTATCACTTTTATTTCTCATGTTTTTATAATTAACATTATAACATTACAAATACATTTTATTATATTAAAAAAATTGGCATTGATTACTTGAATATTAAACCTAACCTAAGATATTAGTTGAGTAGCTTTGGGTTTTGTTTCCTTCTTAGTTACTTCGCGTTGTTTTTTTTTCATCTTTTGTTAGTCTAGTGCGGGTTTTGCGATTCAAAACTGAACATAAAATAAACAAAAATAATATTTTAATCAATATAGTATGCTAATGTAATTTGTACAAATATACTACATCTCTGCTTGGATTCTTAGTTGTTCCTTATATTTTAAATTAATATCGGTTATTTTTATTAATCAGTCATCAGTCACCCATTGATCCCATTTTTCATGCCATCCTATGTAGTGAACCAGGTATTTCGCCATCTTATATTTTTCATTTGGAGTTGGTTAAGGACTCGGGCGGCGGTCTAGACATTTTGCTTTGTAAAGCAATAATGTCCATGTGCGAGCTGAATAACATAGTAATTCTTCATCTGAAACGTTACATAGGTCAATAGTCAAATGGTACTAAATCATTGAAAATATATGTATTTGACATTTTTCGAAATGTTGAAATTTGTTTTTCTACCCAAAGAGCCAAACTTCAACCTAATTAATTATTGTATTTAGGTTATGTACCTACCTTTTTTGAAATGGTACATTAACATATGAAAAGGAGATCCTTATTCCATAGATCGAGACACCGATTTATTGTTCTACAAAACAAAATGTCTAGACCGCCGCCTGAGTCCTTGACCAACTCCAAATGAAAAATATAAGATGGCGAAATACTTGGTACATTTCATAGTATGGCATGAAAAATCCTAATTTTTTTAATATAATAAAATGTATTTGTAATGTTATAATGTTAATTATAAAAACATGAGAAATAAAAGCGATGAAATAGAATAATGTTGATGATTACTCTGTTATACAGTCAAATAGAAATTAATTATTTATATATATTTATATAGACCATTTAGGCTAGATGACCTCAATACTTTCATGCAGCCGGCCGCATATTATTTTCTACAAATCTTGCGTTGCCGTTTATAGTAAACATGTATATTTTATACAAAAATCCAGTTTTATTATTGTAACTTTTTGATTTATTTTAAATTACAAGCTATTATTATAGTTAAAACATATTTAAATTTTGAAATACAAATTATTTATTTTATATTTATTGTGATGACATTGTTGTTTTTCACTAATTTTTCTATATTTGGTTGGTCCTGAGATGCTTTAATCCTCAGCGAGTTTTCTAAGTGTATGTCAGTAAACTGAATACTAGTTTTCGATTTGATAATCTATATTTGTGAATGTTAGAAAATTGTATTTAATAGGGTTAGAACTCTTTGAACGATGACTTCAAAATCCCTTTACCACTTTTGCTTTTTTTACAATTTAAGCGCTTTTTTATGGATTTCAAGTGTATATAAATTTGGTCCCTAGTGATAATTATTTTAATTATGGGGCATTTAAAACAGCTATAATTAAAGAAGTAAAACATTGATAATATATGATTACACTTAATATCCCGTAGCATAATTAAATTTGCAGGGCTAACTAGTTATTATAATATTTATTATATGTTGTACATTATATAATTAAATTAATTACTTATGGACTTATATAAAGATGAACTAAAAATACTCAGTTATCTTATTTTACAGTTGTTAGTATGGATATAAAGAACAAATTAAAATATTGACAAATGTACACCCCACCCCCCATGAACATTGTTAAATTGCATTTAGTTGATCAGAGAATAATAATTATTGTACAGTAGACCAGATTTGTGATGATATGTTTAGGCCAATTTTGTTATTTTAGCCTAGCTTGCAGCTAATAATAATTTAATAATTTAAAGCTAAATAAATAATGCCTATTCATTAATTTTACCATAATATGATATACATTTATTTATATTGTTGACAAAGCATCACTCTCAACTGAACTCGATCAGAATTGTTATTTTTATTAGAAATGGTTTATTGTTGCTTACAGATATACATTAAATTTTCTTCTGTATCCTACCTTCCCAACTTCTCACCTACAATGGTGGCTGCACCCGTCCTTATTGTCGTTGGACAGCTTTTCTATTATTAAAGTAACTTGTATCTAGATACTCTTTTACAAGTTTCTTGCCCATCCCTGATTATATAATAATAATATTAAAAAATTATCAACTATAAAGTCATGTATATTAATTATTACATTAAATTAAAATAATTTATTCATATGTTGGTTTTGATGCATAGACGTAAATCTTTTCACATCCAACTTTGATCACAAGGATAGTTCTTAAATGTAGAGTTTATTTTTTTTTGAAATTTGATGATGAGTTTCTTAAATTTTGTTTAATGTATTAAAAAAATAATTATGATAAAGTGTAATAGGTCAAGGGTGTTATTAGTCGGAGATGAATTTTCATTTTTTGCATATACTGTCCTGAATATTAATGTTACAAAAAAAAACTTTTAAAACTATTATTGATATAGAGTGATTTTTTTTATCATAAACGGGCAATTATCTTGGATGATTTAAAGAGAATTTGATTTCTATTTTTTCTAATTAAAAATTTCATACCTATTACCCTTCCCTACTCTTCCGCTTTAAACTTTAAACTATTCAAATTCATAAATGGTAAATATTATATTATTGTTATGACGCATATCAACATTTCTAGAAAAATATTCTCCATTAAAATCTGTGTTCAAAAAGAGGGTTCCTGTTTGAAAATCTAAAGAATATACTTATTAAAGGTACACGGAGTAGGGGTAAAAAATTAAAAATGGTTTTAAAATAAAGTTTAAATGATTCCATAATGATTATAAAAACAGAAATAAAATTCACTTAAAACCATCTGAGATAATTGTTTGTTCATAATAAAAAATTCACTCTGTTTTTACAAAATAAAAGTTCCTTATAAATTTGTTGTAAAATGTATTGCTTTCTATAAATTTAAATTAAAAAAAAACTGGTCAAAATTAATGTTTCAGGAAACCGGATTAGGTAGTTTTTAGTTTTAGATTTTGAGTGCAGCGAAGAAGCTTATGGTTGTTACAAAAAAGTTTATTTTTTTATTTTTTTTTCTGTAGACAATTTTTCTACTAGAGGACTTGCTCCGATTTTTACGTATAGCATCTTCTCTTAAAGGAAATCGGTGTGGGGAGGTATCTTAGAATAGTCATTTTTCAATTTTCTCAAGAGTTTTCACTTCAAATGCAAAAAACCAAAAATAAAAACAAAGAAATGTATAATATTAAATTTTTTTTTTCCTGTGGATAAATTTTCTACCAGCAATTTTGCTCCATCTTTTAATAATAGCAAAGTATTCTAAAAGAAATTTCAATTGCAAGGTACTTTAAATAGGTTGTTATTCGATTTTTTCTGAATTTTTTTTTTAATAAATGTGAAGAACCGGGAAAAAACATGGGACAACCAGGAAAAACTAGGAAATTCGGTACAACATAAACAAATATTATTAAAGAAAATGTATAAAACCAATTTAATTATTTTACTTTAATATGGCCTATATATTGTTGATAAAGTAAGACTATCAACTGAACTCGCTCATATTGGTTTTTTTGTAAACAATGGTTTATTGTTGCTTACAAGTACACATTAAATTACCTATAACAGTGACTACACCCATCCTCATTATTCTAGGATATCTATTTTACCTTGAATTTTTTAAATATTATAGTTACAAAAAAGGGTCTTTGATGATTATTTAATCCACCATGAGTCGCATCATTATTTGTAACATATGTGATCGCACAATGTTTTTTTGACTGTTCACTTATATCTTATATTTTTTTTTAAACGTTTTACATACAAATGCATTTATTAATGATTTTCAAAAATTATACTTCATTTATTTACTATATTTTACAATAAAAGTTGGTATTAATGGAACTATTATATTACAGCTTAAAGTGAAAATTACTCTTTTAATTAAGTCTACATTTTACAAATAAAATAAATAATAATCATTAGTATTTAGTACTGAACGAGATAGTCCCTAATACCAGTAACACCTATATAATCTATAGTTGTGGACTGCGTTATTACTGATCACGTTCGTTACGCGATGAACTTGGTCAGTAGTAGTCGAGTATTTTGTACAAAATCCGAAGACGTTATCAATTTTATCACAGTGAAGAATTTTTGTTAGCAGTGATTATTTTAAAATACGATTTTTAATGACCAATATATGTAATGCATAGATATGTATAATAAACTAGATAGGATTAACAAAACTACACGAGGGTGGCCGAACGGCTATAAAATGGCTTGAAGAACTAAATACTCGTCTGTGATTTCTATTGTTATTATAATTTACTATGACCTATCATACTAACATTTTATATATTTTTTATTATTTTTTTTTTAATTATTTGACTAGTTATCTTAATTATCATATTTATTTATTCGTTTTAATTTTACTAAATTTATCTATAACAAACATTTCTCACGTTATCTAAAGTCGAATATGTCATATAAAAAAAATCATATTATAAACTAGATTGCTAACCACTGATAATATGAGAAATTATATTCCCTCCCTGTGTAACTGTACTCCATGTCTCATTGCCGCCAACCAAAACAAATGAAAAATTGTTTAAGTAAATATAAGATATAAAAATCGCAAAATCTGGCAACTCTGAGAAACCGACGCTCGTTAGTACTAACTGTTGTTCGATTGTGTTTATTACTTTTTTGATTTACTGGCCGCCATCCGTCTTGTAATTATTTTTATTATTCGTTTATTTTTTTACGGTTTCGAGTTTGTTGCATAACTTCCAATTTCCATAATGTCTGTACAATTTGACATTCTGAAGTCGAGTGTTTATTAACATCCGGTTTTATTTTCTTTCATTTTACGTTATTTTTGTTTTGAGTATTTCATCGTACTCTAATATGGAACAATGTAATGTAATTTCTGGAACTTCCGTTATCGAAGTGTACACCGTATGTCCCGGTACAGTGTTAAAATTGAAGAATAAATCGGTGTCTCGGTCTATGGAAGAAGGTTCTGCTTTTCATATGTTAATGTACCATTTCAAAAAAGGTAGGTACATAACCTAAATACAATAATTAATTAGGTTGAAGTTTGGCTCTTTGGGTAGAAAAACAAATTTCAACATTTCGAAAAATGTCAAATACATATATTTTCAATGATTTAGTACCATTTGACTATTGACCTATGTAACGTTTCAGATGAAGAATTACTATGTTATTCAGCTCGCACATGGACATTATTGCTTTACAAAGCAAAATGTCTAGACCGCCGCCCGAGTCCTTAACCAACTCCAAATGAAAAATATAAGATGGCGAAATACCTGGTTCACTACATAGGATGGCATGAAAAATGGGATCAATGGGTGACTGATGACTGATTAATAAAAATAACAGAAATTAATTTAAAACATAAGGAACAATTACGAATACAAGCAGAGATTTAGTATATTTGTACAAATTACATTAGCATACTATATTGATTAAAATATTATTATTGTTTATTTTATGTTCAGTTTTGAATCGCAAAACTCGCACAAGACTGTCAAAAGAAGAAAATAAACAACGCGAAGAAACTAAGAAGATAACAAAACGTAAAGCTACTCAACTAATATCTTAGTTTAGGTTTAATATTCAAGTAATCAATGCCAATTTTTTAATATAATAAAATGTATTTGTAATGTTATAAAAACATGAGAAATAAAAGCGATTTTTAAGGAAATCGGTGTGAGAAGGTATGTTTTGATTTTTTCCGGAGTTTTCTCAACAAATTTATTAAACCAAAAAAAAAAAAAACTAGATTTTTGTATAAAATATACATGTTTATTATGAACGGCCCCGCAAGATTTGTAGAAAATAATATGTGGCTCGCTGCATGAAAGGATTGAAGTCATCTAGCTTTAATGGTCTATATAAATCTATATAAATATATATATATATATATATATATATATATATATATAATTAATTTCTATTTGAATGTCTAACAGAGTAATCGTCACCATTATTATATTTTATCACTTTTATTTCTCATGTTTTTATAATTAACATTATAACATTACAAATACATTTTATTATATTAAAAAAATTGGCATTGATTACTTGAATATTAAACCTAACCTAAGATATTAGTTGAGTAGCTTTGGGTTTTGTTTCCTTCTTAGTTACTTCGCGTTGTTTTTTTTTCATCTTTTGTTAGTCTAGTGCGGGTTTTGCGATTCAAAACTGAACATAAAATAAACAAAAATAATATTTTAATCAATATAGTATGCTAATGTAATTTGTACAAATATACTACATCTCTGCTTGGATTCTTAGTTGTTCCTTATATTTTAAATTAATATCGGTTATTTTTATTAATCAGTCATCAGTCACCCATTCATCCCATTTTTCATGCCATACTATGAAATGTACCAAGTATTTCGCCATCTTATATTTTTCATTTGGAGTTGGTCAAGGACTCAGGCGGCGGTCTAGACATTTTGTTTTGTAGAACAATAAATCGGTGTCTCGATCTATGGAATAAGGATCTCCTTTTCATATGTTAATGTACCATTTCAAAAAAGGTAGGTACATAACTTGAATACAATAATTAGGTTGAAGTTTAGCTCTTTGGGTGGAAAAACAAATTTCAACATTTCGAAAAAATGTCAAATACATATATTTTCAGTGATTTAGTCCCATTTGACTATTGACCTATGTAACATTTCAGATGAAGAATTGCTATGTTGTTGGTCTCGCACATGGACATTATTGCTTTAATCAGTTTTGATTCGAAAACTCACACGAGACTGTCAACAGATGAGAAAAAACAACTCAAAGAAACTAAGAAGAAAACAAAACACAAAGCTACTCAACTAACATCTTTTAATATAATAAAATGTATTTGTAATGTTATAATGTTAATTATAAAAACATGAGAAATAAAAGCGATGAAATAGAATAATGTTGATGATTACTCTGTTATACAGTCAAATAGAAATTAATTATTTATATATATTTATATAGACCATTTAGGCTAGATGACCTCAATACTTTCATGCAGCCGGCCGCATATTATTTTCTACAAATCTTGCGTTGCCGTTTATAGTAAACATGTATATTTTATACAAAAATCCAGTTTTATTATTGTAACTTTTTGATTTATTTTAAATTACAAGCTATTATTATAGTTAAAACATATTTAAATTTTGAAATACAAATTATTTATTTTATATTTATTGTGATGACATTGTTGTTTTTCACTAATTTTTCTATATTTGGTTGGTCCTGAGATGCTTTAATCCTCAGCGAGTTTTCTAAGTGTATGTCAGTAAACTGAATACTAGTTTTCGATTTGATAATCTATATTTGTGAATGTTAGAAAATTGTATTTAATAGGGTTAGAACTCTTTGAACGATGACTTTAAAATCCCTTTACCACTTTTGCTTTTTTTACAATTTAAGCGCTTTTTTATGGATTTCAAGTGTATATAAATTTGGTCCCTAGTGATAATTATTTTAATTATGGGACATTTAAAACAGCTATAATTAAAGAAGTAAAACATTGATAATATATGATTACGCTTAATATCCTGTAGCATAATTAAATTTGCAGGGGTAACTAGTTATTATAATATTCATTATATGTTGTACTTTATATAAAAAATTAATTACTTATGGACTTATATAAAGATGAACTAAAAATATTCAGTTATGTTATTTTACAGTTGTTACTATGGATATAAAGAACAAATTAAAATATTGACAAATGTATAACCTCCCCTCCATGAACATTGTTAAATTGCATTTAGTTGATCAGAGAATAATAATTATTGTACAGTAGACCAGATTTGTGATGATATGTTTAGGCCAATTTTGTTATTTTAGCTTAGCCTGCAGGTNTGTACACCCCACCCCCCATGAACATTGTTAAATTGCATTTAGTTGATCAGAGAATAATATTTATTGTACAGTAGACCAGATTTGTGATGATATGTTTAGGCCAATTTTGTTATTTTAGCCTAGCTTGCAGCTAATAATAATTTAATAATTTAAAGCTAAATAAATAATGCCTATTCATTAATTTTACCATAATATGATATACATTTATTTATATTGTTGACAAAGCATCACTCTCAACTGAACTCGATCAGAATTGTTATTTTTATTAGAAATGGTTTATTGTTGCTTACAGATATACATTAAATNAGCTTTTCTATTATTAAAGTAACTTGTATCTAGATACTCTTTTACAAGTTTCTTGCCCATCCCTGATTATATAATAATAATATTAAAAAATTATCAACTATAAAGTCATGTATATTAATTATTACATTAAATTAAAATAATTTATTCATACGTTGGTTTTGATGCATAGACGTAAATCTTTTCACATCCAACTTTGATCACAAGGATAGTTCTTAAATGTAGAGTTTATTTTTTTTTGAAATTTGATGATGAGTTTCTTAAATTTTGTTTANTCGTTGGACAGCTTTTCTATTATTAAAGTAACTTGTATCTAGATACTCTTTTACAAGTTTCTTGCCCATCCCTGATTATATAATAATAATATTAAAAAATTATCAACTATAAAGTCACGTATATTAATTATTACATTAAATTAAAATAATTTATTCATATGTTGGTTTTGATGCATAGACGTAAATCTTTTCACATCCAGCTTTGATCACAAGGATAGTTCTTAAATGTAGAGTTTATTTTTTTTTGAAATTTGATGATGAGTTTCTTAAATTTTGTTTAATGTATTAAAAAAATAATTATGATAAAGTGTAATAGGTCAAGGGTGTTATTAGTCGGAGATGAATTTTCATTTTTTGCATATACTGTCCTGAATATTAATGTTACAAAAAAAAACTTTTAAAACTATTATTGATATAGAGTGATTTTTTTTATCATAAACGGGCAATTATCTTGGATGATTTAAAGAGAATTTGATTTCTATTTTTTCTAATTAAAAATTTCATACCTATTACCCTTCCCTACTCTTCCGCTTTAAACTTTAAACTATTCAAATTCATAAATGGTAAATATTATATTATTGTTATGACGCATATCAACATTTCTAGAAAAATATTCTCCATTAAAATCTGTGTTCAAAAAGAGGGTTCCTGTTTGAAAATCTACAGAATATACTTATTAAAGGTACACGGAGTAGGGGTAAAAAATTAAAAATGGTTTTAAAATAAAGTTTAAATGATTCCATAATGATTATAAAAACAGAAATAAAATTCACTTAAAACCATCTGAGATAATTGTTTGTTCATAATAAAAAATTCACTCTGTTTTTACAAAATAAAAGTTCCTTATAAATTTGTTGTAAAATGTATTGCTTTCTATAAATTTAAATTAAAAAAAAACTGGTCAAAATTAATGTTTCAGGAAACCGGATTAGGTAGTTTTTAGTTTTAGATTTTGAGTGCAGCGAAGAAGCTTATGGTTGTTACAAAAAAGTTTATTTTTTTATTTTTTTTTCTGTAGACAATTTTTCTACTAGAGGACTTGCTCCGATTTTTACGTATAGCATCTTCTCTTAAAGGAAATCGGTGTGGGGAGGTATCTTAGAATAGTCATTTTTCAATTTTCTCAAGAGTTTTCACTTCAAATGCAAAAAACCAAAAATAAAAACAAAGAAATGTATAATATTAAATTTTTTTTTTCCTGTGGATAAATTTTCTACCAGCAATTTTGCTCCATCTTTTAATAATAGCAAAGTATTCTAAAAGAAATTTCAATTGCAAGGTACTTTAAATAGGTTGTTATTCGATTTTTTCTGAATTTTTTTTTTAATAAATGTGAAGAACCGGGAAAAAACATGGGACAACCAGGAAAAACTAGGAAATTCGGTACAACATAAACAAATATTATTAAAGAAAATGTATAAAACCAATTTAATTATTTTACTTTAATATGGCCTATATATTGTTGATAAAGTAAGACTATCAACTGAACTCGCTCATATTGGTTTTTTTGTAAACAATGGTTTATTGTTGCTTACAAGTACACATTAAATTACCTATAACAGTGACTACACCCATCCTCATTATTCTAGGATATCTATTTTACCTTGAATTTTTTAAATATTATAGTTACAAAAAAGGGTCTTTGATGATTATTTAATCCACCATGAGTCGCATCATTATTTGTAACATATGTGATCGCACAATGTTTTTTTGACTGTTCACTTATATCTTATATTTTTTTTTAAACGTTTTACATACAAATGCATTTATTAATGATTTTCAAAAATTATACTTCATTTATTTACTATATTTTACAATAAAAGTTGGTATTAATGGAACTATTATATTAAAGCTTAAAGTGAAAATTACTCCTTTAATTAAGTCTACATTTTACAAATAAAATAAATAATAATCATTAGTATTTAGTACTGAACTAAAATATAATTTTTATTTCTGTGCATCTTTTGTTTACATATATTTTTTACGACCAACATAATTTTTAGGATATTTTTGTATTATCTAAAAAAATATTCAAGTTTACCCTTGTTAGTAGTTACCTTAGTTAAATTTTAACATAAAACTTATTTTCAATATATACTGCTTTAGAAGTTAAAAACTTCCATCAACTTGACTCCACATTTAGCTGTATCATTTATAAAGCGCAAATGTTTTAAATTATTGATAGTTCTTTACATAACTGTCAATATTTGGCCAATTTTCTGGATTTTGATACAGAAACTCCATGTTTATTTAAAACTTTTAGAATAAGTTTTTTGATTTTAATTGTAGTACTTTCATAAATTTCAGCATTTTCAGAGTTTATTGCTTAATCTTTATCATTGCTTTATATACTATCCTAAAAATCAATATGTTAGATGGGCCTAAAAAAAATTAACATTTATATATATAAATAACAAAATACGTCCTAGAACAATGGGGACTGGTGCAGCCACTGTTGTAGGTAGATAATTTAATGTATACCTGTAAGCAACGTTAAACCATTGCTTACAAAAAACAATTCTGAGCAGAGTTAAGTTGATAATGTTGCTTTATCAACAATATATATGTCATTTTATTATAAAATAATTAAATAGGCTTTATATATATTTTTTAATAATATTTGTTTAATGTTGTACCAATTTTCCCAGTTTTTCCTAGTACAAGTCCTTGTATACAAATAATATACTAATAATTAGTATATTATTTTTATAATTCATTTTTAATACCATGTATGATTGTATGAAAATTTGTTTATTATCATACACGGTATTGTTAAATATTAATAATACATGTTGAATACATAGACATGTTGCACGCTTTGCTAGAAAAAGTATTAATAAAATCTTAATAAATACAGAAAAGTATAGTTGAATAATACGAGATTTTTATCATAATTTATTATTAATGATAAATTAATTTTTGCATTATTAAGCATGTTTATTGTGCCCTGAGAATTTGCCACTGATATACACATTTGTAAATTATGTACATCATATTTTACTTCTATACATAATACAATTTATAAGCCTTTAATCTAAAATATCATGTTAGTTATAGTATTTTGATAGAATTTATTTTTATTTTTATATAACAAGAATGGATATAGAAGAAGATGATGGATTTCATTCTCTAGATGAAGAAGATAAAATATTTGATGAAATTAAACAAGAAATTTTAGATGAAGAAAGTTTGTATTTCAAAAAATATTTAATTTTGTTTAAATATATTTTATTAATGTCTAATTTAAATTCTAGTGAAATGGATATCTGAACAAGACATTGATTATAATGTATATTTACATCATTTACAAAATAATTCACTTGAATGTCCTGTCTGCCATACTGGTAATCTCATCAAATCAGGCAACAATAATATTTCATGTGACATATGTCATACATCTATTCAGACACTTCTTGAAGTTGATGCTTTAAAAAGTAATTTAGAAAATACAACTGCTGAACATTCGCGTTTATGTCAGGCACCAGCAGAATGCATTGTTTTTCCAACACATTGTGATAGCTCTATGTTTTTATTGTGTAGCATTTGTCAGTTCCTGTTTCAGATTTCCTAAGTTCAACATATACTTTATTATAAAATATAATAACTATTTTTTTTTTTTATTATGATTTATATAATATATACATAATACTATAATGTATGTATGTATGTATGTATAGTATGTGTTTTATTATTTCTATAGATTATAATTATAACTTATAACGTACAAATACTTTGGGTGATTTATTTAATGAATAATATATTTACATATTACATTTATAAAATATGTTTGTGTTTATTTTATTATATTTTGTATTCAATATTATTATGTTCCACAATATGAGTCATTGAAAAATTGAATTCAATTGACTGCCTAATTGAATGGGTTATTATTCTATTGTAGCTGCAGTGGTGTACAGTTTCCTTTTTACGACTATTTGCTATAGTCCTAAGGTGTTTATTTAAATAATATTACTTATATTTTCGTAATATAAAACTTATTTTTTAAACACATTTAGAATGATTTTAATATTTTAGTGAAAAATGACAATTTTATTTACAAATGTGTGTCTAATTTTATTTGTATTGTATATTGAAACATTTGAAACATTGGAGAATTCCAGAGGTAAAAAAAAAAATTGTTTTTTTCATATTACTATATTGCTTTTAAGTATATTGAATGAGTCTTTTAATCTCAATGTTTACATTCGGAAAATAGAAAAATGTAGAATTCCAGTCACACTAAACCTGACACAAGGTTATGAAGAAGAGCTGTGCCGAAATGTGACACATAAATGGTATTATGATTCTGTTTATCATGAATGTAGGATTTATACAAGTGGTATTTGTACAAATGAAAATATGTTTGATTCTGAGAAAGATTGTCTGTATCACTGTGTTGGTGGAAAAAGTAAAATTTATAAAATTTATTGACCAGTATAAATTTTAATCCTTCATTTATTTCTAGACAATACATATCAGGATACTATGGGTTATAAAAATGAGCCTGGTTCTTCTACAATGGCACCAATAGTTCCGGATGCCAGGGGTGCAGAACTTAGATTTTCTGAAACTGTCAATAACACTGTATTTATGATGGCTAAAAATAATGCATTTATACAACTTGATGGTTATCGTATTCCCACTTTTCAGTTAAGGTAAAATTAATTAATATAACCAATTTATTTTGAAATATTAAACAGTGTATTATCAAATAAAATAGACTTTGTCGTGAAATTTCGTTTCAATTCCGGACACGTTTACCTCATGGACTACTTGTTTATCATAGTGTTAAGGATAGACCTACTGGTCTTCCTCCATATGCTTTGTATGTTATTGTAGAAAAAGGTCAACTTAAAGTTGTCCATGTGTATGGTAAACATTCAACTTCTGTAATAGTTGGTGAAGGTAAGTAGATGATACCAAATATTCTCAAATATACCTATAAAACTTGTGATTCATCATAACTCATAGCCGCATCTCTAAAATAATGAGCATGAAATCATTTTTAAAAGTAATAATTAGTAAAATTTGTATAAGATATATATTATAATGATAAAAAAAAAAAAAATAAAAAAATCACCTTTAATAAGCATAATTCCGTCACTAGAGTCAAATTTACCCCCAGTCAACTTATCCCTGTTATAATATTTAATTTTTTTTTTTTTATAATTAATTTAAAACAGTTATGAGTTTTATTTTATATTTAGTCTGTAGATGTATTTAAAATCTTGTATTTTCTGTGATGAAATTGTAGCATAAAAATGGTTGAGAATGGGGAAGAAAGTTAAATTTCCCAAAAGATACATCCTTGATACTTACTATAGTGTTAGTACATTAGAGCCGTCTTTATTTTGTCTATTTGAAAATTTCTTTCAAGACACCTATCTTGCGCTGTATAACAAAAAAATATAACAATAAAGTTTGAAGCCATTTGAATATTATTTAGTGAAAGCGCCCAATGTTTTAATATTTAATAACAAAAACTTTCACGAAATCAATGAAAATATTGTACAAATGATCACAGATTGTTTCAGAGACAATCAAACGGGAAGGAATCAGGGAAACATACCAGCCTCTCCCACATTGAAACATTTTTCTTAAACGTTTATAATAATATACAGTGTTATTTTTTAAAACATGTTCATTGTTCATTTTACTTTTATGGTTAAATTATGTATAAATTCAAATTCTGATATTAGGAATTTTTAAATGTAGTGAAAAACGATATTTTCGAATAATTCAATTTTTCATAACACTTAAAGAGTAACCTGTGGTGACATGTTTTAATGCCAATTGTTAATTGGATGATCTTTTTGTAAATGTTAACATATATTTTAATCGAAATTTGAATGAAAAGTTTCTAAGTTACTCTGCTTTAAATTCTAAGGATAACTGATTGTGGAAATAAGAAATTATTCATATGAAACATTCATTTATAAAACGTCAACATATTTAAAAAAATCATCGGATATTGATGATTTGCATTAAAACATGGAGGTTTTCATTAGAAAAACTAAATTTGTTATCACTACAGGATACTTCTTAAATTTTGTAAAAAATTGAAGTACGCGTAAATATCATAGTTCAATGTATTTAAAAATTCCAAAAGTCACAATTTGATTTATGTGTAATTTAAGTAAATAAATGAAGTGATCATGCTTAAATCGCCCTGTATATTATATTATATCTTCATAGTTATAAAAAAAGATTATGTAAACAATAATTATTCTTAAAAATGATCCTTACCCCTCACCCCCCCCCCTTTCTGACAAAATCATTTGATCGTTATTGGTTTGTTTAGAATTGTTTTTTAAAAATAAAAACAAAGAACCTATTTTAATGATTTTTTTTTTTGTTTGATTCCACATATGGTTTAGATTGTTGAAGAGTCTCTTGAATATAAAATAGTAATAAATAGCTTAGCTGTAATTATGAAAAGCTTATTAATGCCTTAATAGACTTGGAGTCTTTAATTACACTACGTTTTAATATTTAATAACAAAAAAGTTTCACAAAATCAATAAAACAGTGCAAACGATCAGTTTATTATCTAAACGATTTGTTTTTAATAATAAACAAAGGACCTATTTTAATCCCAAGTCCATTGTCTTATGTCTTTTTTTGATACCATACATGGATATGAATCTTTAATTACATATATACTAGTAACTAATAATAGTATTTATAATCAATAATAATATTAATAAATGTCACACATTATAATAGGTAATTATTTTATTTTCATTGAACATTTTGAACAACTTCTAAAGTTCTTAACATAGTGTACACGAGCCAATAATTTACTTAAAGACTATATAATAGTACCTAATCATAGTGAAATTACCATTGCATAATTTATACTGGTTTGGTTAAGTAAATAAACTAAAAAAAAGACTGACATATTTCGTACGTGGGTGAAGCCACTGTTGTAGGTGGGAAGTTGAGAAAGTAGGGTACAGAAGGGTATTTAATGTATATCTGTAAGCAACGATGAACCATTGCTAACGAAAAAACGATTCTGAGTAGTGAGGTATAGTTCACTTGACAGTGATGCTTTGTTATCAATATACATGTCATATTATAGTAAAATAATTAAATAGGCATTATATTTTTTTTTAACAAAATTTGTTTGATACTGTACCGATTTTTACTTTTTTTCTGTGTTTTTCCCGGTTTTCTCATGTTTTCCAGGTTTTTCACATTTGCTGGGAAAACTTTTGAGAAAATCGAAAAATGACCTCTGTAAAGTACCTCCCTAGTCAAATTTCCTTTCAGATAAATTGCTATCATTATGAATTGGAGCAAAATATTGCTAGTAGAAAAACTTGTCCACAAGAATAAAAAAGGCCGTAATATTTTTAACTAATATCCCAACCTAAATAGTTAAACTACAATTTTATGCCGGTTTTTCCCAGATATTATGAAAACCGCTTGAAAAATAAAAATTAAAGGGGAAATTAAATGCATATCTGTATGCAACGAATAATGATTAACCATTGCTAACGAAAAAACGATTCTGAGCGGAGTTAGGTTGATAGTGTTGCTCTGTCAAAAATATATGTCATATTATGGTAAAATAATTGCATATGCATTATATATTTTCTTTAATATTCATTTAATATTATACCTATTTTCCCATTTTTCCTGGTTTTCCCATGTTTTTATGTTTTTAGTTACTCTAGTTATGGCACATATTTGACTAAACACCAAGAATCATATATAAGGTACATATCAGTTTGTTCAATCAGTATTTACTTTTAGTATTGAGATATGGGGAAACACCTATGATATCCATTTGAACAAAATTAAAATTTCACTGAATAAAGTTATTAAGTTTATACAGATTAAAACTACTAAGACTTTATTGGGCGTCAATTAAGAAGGGCAAGAAAGGAACATGTCCTCCTGGCTTTCCCGTGTCTCTAATACATATATACATAAAATATTATGATTTATATTAAATCTGGCTTTTGAATTATTAGCTAAAAATAACTTATCACTATCAGGCGTTAGTCGTTATTCGATAGTTTGTTAAGAGGACGCCCGTCACCGACAAATCTCCGTCTCACAAACGTGAGACAGCAAATTTGAGTTCAGTAGGTCACATTTTGTGTCGTTAGTTTTAATATTAAAGCAAATTGAATATGAATAAAGGAATATAATATTATGCTACGAAAGTTATATATAGCAGTTAATAGGTTAACAGAAAGGTAAATATTATTGAACAAATACAGTGCTCCCCCCCTGGATTTTTGAAGATGGGCGCCCTTGCTTTCTTGTACAAAATGTATACACCGGATGATTCTTTTATCGTTAAACACTCATTATCTCGAAAAGTATTAACGTTTTTCGGAATCTGTTTTATAGAAAATTTAAGAATCAAACACCTCAACATTTTACATTTACATTTTTTTTTTGTTACCTTAATTTTTGGGGTTGAAATGACTATCTAGTTTTGATTTTCAAATGGCAACTTGTATTGAAAATTCCTTAAATAGATTATAGATATGTAATAGTAATAATTATGTAATAGTTATAATAGATTTTAACAAAAAAAAATAAAATAACTAATTGTTTCTTAAATTTAAAAAAAAAAACATTTTCTAAAATATTCAATACTTTTCGAAATAATGAGTGTTTAACGATAAAAGAATCTCCCAGTATAAGTACTGGGAGATTAAGTCCCTTGGAACTTAATTTACCTATTTGAATTTGAAAAACTATTTAACCTAAATTTACTTTTTTTGTCTTTTAAGCAAAAAAAAATATTTCCTGACATATACCCATGCGGGTATAAAGACCTCTTAAGTCTAAACATTTCACTATAGCTATTATATTATAATACAATTATTACATTTTCTAAGAAAACAATTTATAGAAGATTAATACATCAGATATAAAAGCATAAATTAAGATTTAAAATTACCTTCAGTATAAGCATTTTGATTTTCTTTTACAAGTGCTTTATAAATTTGTGCTATAGAAAGTTTTTCTTTTTGTACATTTGTTTAATCAACACCATCCTACATAAATCATATAAGTAGTTTTATTCGTTGATTTATCTATCTGTTTTAATTTTAGATTTTGAGCGGGGGGAGGAGGAGTGTTTTGGTTTTACAAAGATGTTTATTATTTTTTTTTATACTTTGTTTAAAAATTCTAACAAAAATCTTGCTTTTAGGTATCAGACAGCACATTTTTTAAAAGGGTATTTTCCTGGGGTGGTACTCTAAGGAGGTCATTTTTTTATTTTCTCAAGATTTTTCAAAATAAATGGAAAAAACTGTGAAAAAACGCAGAAAAGATAAGACAATTTATGAAAATTATACTTTTATTATTTTTTTTTTGGTGTAATTCCGTGAAAAATATTTGTAGAAATTTAACATTTGACTATAAACCTAGAAGTTTATGGACAAATATAGATATTTTTCTTTTATAGACGTGGTAAAATTTTCAAAACACTTGAGCCATTTTTAAGCTATTTATAAAAATATTAATTTTGCGAGTTTTTTTACGTAATATTTATTCAGTATAGTACTGTATAGATAAAAATATAAAATTGTTGATCAAATATTTTTAATATCAAATTTTGACGAAAATCGTAAATATTATGGCTTTTTTTTTTAATGTATAACCGAACTCCGCTCAGAATCGTTTTTTGTTTAGCATATATTAATCATTACGTACAGATATACATACATTCAATTCTCTTTATATTCCCAACTCTTTACCTTCCCAACTTCTTAACTAAAACAGTGGCCCACCTATCGTGTGAAATACGTCTGTCTTTTTATTATTAGTAGTCTGTAGAGCATATGAGCTAAATCAAGTAAATCATTAAATTTTGAAATAAACAGTTCTTCTTGTTCTTTATGACCTCTGGTATTTTTTCTGCCATGCTTTTGAAGGGGTTTTTTCTCATCGTATAAAGATTTGAATTGAGAATACAGTGTTGACTGTTCTAATATTACTGGAATACGAGCAGGCCCGGTTTAAGACATGGTAGGTGGTGAACAAATAAGTGCCCCTTTTTTCATTTCATAAGAATATACCTACTATGATTATTTAAGAGTTTTTAGTGGTAGACTATACGCCTACGTAATTTTGGAAATTTCTGCTCTTACAAATGTGTCTTTATATTAGTAAATAAGAGATACATCTTTTAAATAAACTTTTCTCATTAGCTGTCACAACACGGAGACATATGATGCTATGGGTTTAACGAACCTGGAGCCCCGAGCGAAGTATATCCGTATTTTTTTTATAAATGTTCTTAAAGAAGTTTAAACAATTGCATACAATAATATGAGTAGCATACTCGAAAAAAATAACACCATTTATGCTGCATGTGCCTACTTAAACAAAATAAAAATAAATCAATGATTTCTAAATGAATTTATATAAAAAAATATAGCAGATTATTTTAAATTGAAATAAGTTATTCTATATCATTTTATTTTTATCGTATATAGGTTTGAACCATGACATTTGGCACGCCGTTACTGTACGTATAGATGTTCATGGTGCTCGACTTATAGCAAAAGTGGACAACTTGAGTGCAGAAAAAATTATACAAGGTTTACACAAATCTAGTAACTATGGCATATCTACTGATTTAACATCTGTTGTTTTAATAGGCGGTAAGAAATATGTATTATGATTTATGAAATTATAACCTAGAATACATTTTTATGTTATACCATCTACTTTATGTTATTCGCATAATTTAAAACTAGTAATATCTATTTTATAAAATATGTTAATATTCGTCAATAAATTTCGTTATTAGTGTTATAATGTAGGTGCATAATTAAATATACATATATTCATTAAGCATTCACATATTTAAGGAGTATCCTGTGAGTGATACCAACGATACCAACTTTGATTTAAGTTGATTCCCTCAAGTTTGTTCTAATATGTATACAATTTTATATTGATTGGTTAAGTATAACCCGTGCCTCAAAGCCCTTATATTTTAAAACCACGTTTTTATTGAAATAATCATATTTCATTTTTGTTTTTATTTACTTGGTAGTAAATGGTGAATTGCTAGACCTAATTAGACCTTTTTTGGATTCGGAGCGTATTGGTTTTTTTTGTATTTTTTGTGTTTGTCTATCAGAAACTTGTTCCAGAGTATAGACTATAGCACCGTTTTTGAAAGGTAATTTTCTGTCATTTGTGTATTGGGGAGATTATTTTTTGGGTTTTCCAATGGGTTTCGAAATAGTTGGGAATAACCTGAAAGAAAATTACAGGTAAAACGGCAAATATTTACGGCGCGTTACAGCGTTTAATAATTCTTTTATTATTTTAAATTTTGTTTTTTAACGTATTTTAGTTCATAATATTCGTAGAGATATTAAATTTTGACGTACATGGTAAAATTTTCAAAACATTTGATTTATTTCTGAGCTATTTATAGACATTTTAGTTTTGCTAGTTTTTTATGTCATTTTTATTCCGGAAGTACTCTGTAGATAAATTGTTAGACTTAACAGGAATGTTTGAAAGTTGAATAGGAAATTTATTATTATAAGTCGCACTTAGGTGGTGTGAAAAAAAAATAATTTAGTTTAATGTATGTAGTATTTTTTTTTTTAGATTCTCAGGGGAACGAATGAACAAATGTGAAAAACCGGGATAAAACACGGAAAAGCCAGGAAAAACATAGAAAAACTGGGAAAATCGATACAACATTAAACAAATTTTATTAAAGAAATATATAGTCTATATAATTATTTTACTATGAAATGACATATATATTGGTGACAATGCATCACTATCAACTGAACTCTGTTCAGAATCGTTTTTTCGTAAGTGATGGTTTATCGTTGCTTACAGGTATACATTAAATTATCTATAATAGTGGCTGCAGTCGTCCCTATTATTCTCGGATATCTTTTTTAAGGTTTTTTTTACGGTGCACACGAATTGAGTCCCGAAATCCCTTTTCGACATGAATTGCGTTCCGATGATATTTAACCAGTACACGAATTGCGTCTCAACGTAAAAAAATTATTTTCCTTCTTTCGATCTATAATTTCATTGTTATCATTTAGTTAAATGTATGACTTACACGTTCTTTTACAGCAATTCCAACGTTGAATAACGATATTCAATATTTTATGGTAACGAAATTTATATCCATGTATAAAGTTTTATTTTTTTTACTTAAAATCATTGATATCATTTTATGCGAATACGATTTTCTAAGAAAACTAAGAACATAACAACGTTTACGATCCACGATCCAAACCAGACTAAAAGTAAAATTAAAAAGATAGGTAAGATAATGGGAATCGTGCAGCCACTGATGTAGAAGGGAAGTAAAGAAGGATAACGGTAATTTAATGTATATTTGTAAGCAACAATATAGTGATGCATTGTCACCAATATAAATGTTATTTCATAGTAAAATAATTAAATAAGCTTTATATATTTTTTTTAATAAAATTTGTGTAATGTTGTACCGCTTTTCCCGGGTTTTCGTGTTTTATACAGTTTTTTCACATTTGCTGGGAAAACTCTTGGGAAAATCGAAAAATTAGCTCTCTAAAGTACCTCTCTTGTAAAATCTCCTTTTTAGAAATATTGCTATCATTAAAAATTGGAGTAAAATTGTTTGTAGAAAAGTAGTCCATAGAAAAAAAAAATGGTAAATTATATTTATTATAATATTTCATAAATTTTCCCGTTTTTTTTCGGTTAAGAGTTTTCTCATCAAATGCGAAAACTCTTGACAAAATCGAATTTATTAATAATTTTAGGTACTGGTGCAATAACAAGATAGTCCAAATTTATAATTTTTCAGGAGACACAAAAAACATTTTTTTTTTTTTTTTTTTCATGTACATTAGTAAAATTTTAAAATGCTTAAGTATTATAATATTGATTGATACAGTATCTATTTCATATAATTACATGAATAGCATATTCGAATTAATTAATAAAATAACCACAATATTTACCATAATGCTTAAATATTGGTTTTTTTTAGGCGCAACAACAGAATACGTCCAAAACTTATTTGGTTATTCCACCGAATTTGTTTTAGGTAATACATTAATGAATAAAACATGACCGCATCCATGACAATATATTATTTCATATTCTTTAATTTCTTTTATTTATACATATTATTACTTCTTTTATAGAATTACTAAAATAATATAATATTGTTTTTTTTTTTTTTGATTTTGTTTGATATTTTGTGTTAAGAAACATTAAAATGTTAAAAAAATCGTAGAGTATGAAAATAATCAACAATATTAGTGATAAAATGATTATTAATATAAGTGCTCCACAGTTTTTCTAATTTTATATAATTAACTGGCTATTAAATAAAATTATGCATACAATTAATATTATTAACTAATAATAGACTAATAAGTCTTATTATCAAATTCATTAAATACCTTTAATGCACCGAAATAAAGTGATAAATAGTGTAAGTTGATTTAGTGCAAAATCAAGATACTTCCGGACGTATCTGGTTTTTGCACCAGAAAATACATTTTATTTATATATTTATGAGATACGCCCGGACGTATTTCGTAGTTATTGCACCGAACAAAATGAATAAAATCGGTTTTTGGTGAATATTTTTTAATACACTGATTGGACGTATCTGGTTGTTGCACCGGTGTCTAAAATTGTATTTAACACAGTTTTTTTTTTTTTATATTATCTTTATATACTAGGTGATCTATTTTAGTGGGTACATTCATTATTTCGGATTTTTTTTTTTAGAACATTTAAGAAACAAGCTTGATACCTTTACATATTTTATAGTTTAAAATATGTGTGATATCCAGCGAGGTAGGAGAACATTACCTCGATGACCGTCCGTCCGAGACGGATGACATAAACAGGTGATTGTGAACTGACGGAGTCCTGGGGGATTTAGAATTTGATTATAGCTTTGAAATTAATATTATGAGCACCATGATTATATGCAAATTGAGTAGTGGTTAATTTTTCGGCAGGTGTCAGGTAGTCTGGTAGTGTCGGTAAGAAAAATTATTTTGAAAAAAAGAAGGCTCGCTGGTGCACATTTTGCACCTAGCAAACAAAATACGGGTATATACATAATGGAAAAATAATTATTGACTTGAATGATGGTGTGAGTTGAGATGAGAGGCATTATTGCTGTCGCCGGAAGTTGGTTGAGACTATCGATTGGACCGGTTTTGTTGGCCCGTCAAGGACCGTTGCATTGAGTTTACGCTGCTATGATATCTGAATTCCAACGGTGGTGAACGAAAATAAAATAGTTGCGGTTCACGTCGGCAGTACAGTAGTAAAAAAAAAATGTGAGACGGCGGACGCTGTGGCTATACGAGTGGTGATGTGTTTCCGGCTTCGACTCTATATAGGACGGTCGCTATAAGGTGGCCGGCTGGGAGTGGGTGCGCGTAGGCAGGGTGACAAGTAGGTAGTGGACTTTGACCGCGCTCATAATACTAATCACGTAATATTAATGAGCAACTAAATATTCTGGGGCGTTATAAGCTGCTCTACAATTTTATATTTATATTATTTTTTGTCTCCTTCTTTTTAGGGGTAAAACTACTACCTACTTTTGATTTTAAAATAGCAACATATATTAAAAATTCCATAAATAGGTGGAATATAAGTTAAAATAAATTTTTGTGTTGAAATGCTTAATTTCTGTTGATCCGTTGACGAGGTATTTCACTTTTAAGTTTGGGTTGGAGGAGAGTTGCGGTGCATTATTAACACGCCGTGCACCGTACTGCCAAACAAATGATACTTCACTACTTTCCTCCAACCCAAACTTAAAAGAGGAATATCTCGTAAACGGATTGACAGAAATCAAACATTTCAACACTAAAATTTATTTTAACTAATATTCCATCTATTTATAGAATTTTTAATATAAGTGGCCATTTAAAAAATCAAAAATAGATAGTGGTAAAACACCTCCAAAATTAACATAAATATAAACCTAACCTAACAGAAAATGGAACCTTTTAATCCCTGTTTTCGGCATTCACAACGAGCAGTGTAGTTTTGTGTAATACATGAAATTAAATTTGACAAGATTTAAAGGGATCGACCAAAAAAATTATAACATTGAAAAATAAGGACCACCTTAATATAACATATAAGTTGGCACTTTGTACTGATCTATGTTTGTGTACATTTCATCTTATTTTTAAGGTTTGAGCCATGAAGAAACACTACATGGTGTTAAATATATTATCGAATCATTTGTTGGCTGCATAAAAGAGATGATTTTAAGTGCTGGAAAAGCTGCTTCAGATTTATTACCAATTAAACCATTAATTGCAACTAAACATGATAATGTTTTAGAGGGATGCATAGATAAGTGAGTTATTTTTTCAATATTTCTACAAGTTATTGTTAGGGAAAATAATATGTATATTAAATATCTGTATTTAAATGGAAATTTTAGGTGTAAAACTGAAGACAATATTTGTTTTAAGGGAAGTTTATGTATAAATCATTATAATCAGCTGTCATGTGATTGTTTTGGGACTCTTTATGAAGGCGAATACTGTGATATGTATGGTAATAGACTTTTTTTAGATTTATAAAATTAAATAGTTACAATTTGACCATTATGTAGGTATACAGGCTGTCCCACAAAGATATACCCCTTGAATATCTCTGGAGATAATAAAATTCTGTTTTTTTGTTTATTATTCACAGGGACGAGAAATATAAATTACGAGACTACAAATATTTTTATTTTTATTATTATTTTCTTTAAAAAATTTAAAAAATAAGTTTATTTTATTTTTTTCAAAAAATTTTAAGATAGCTATTCTGTAGAGTTTATTTTTTCTGAAAATTGTAATATATCACATATTTACATTCGATGGATAGTTTTTAAGTAACAGCCATTTTAAATTTTATTAATCCGTGTGATGTTATCTTGGGAAAAACCTAACCGTGTTACATGATAACATGGGTTTTCACACAGATTAGTAGAATTTAAAACGGCTGTTACTTAAAAACTATTCATTGAATGTAAATGTGTGATACATTAAAATGTTCAGAAAAATAAATTCTTAAAAAAAATGTATAAAAAAAAAAAAAAACATTAATTTAAATATAAATATTTGTTGACCTTATTTCTGCGAGTAATATATAAAACAGAAACATAATTTGATTATCTTTATTACTCCGGAGATATTTAAGGGATATATCTTCATGAGACAGTCTGTATTGTATATGTTATATTTTAATAAATTATTTTCAGTATCAACTGTATTAACTTTACGAGGATCTTCTTATGTATCATATCGTGTTTATGACTGGAAAGATAGAGTTCATTCAAGTATGAACCGTATTAGTTTTATGTTTAAGACTAGATTTGATGATTCTGCTTTATTTTACGCAAGTGGAGAATCTCATAAACATCACCATATTGCTATATCCATTTATAATGCGTCAGTTATTGTTGAAATTGAACTCGGTGATGGGGAACCTATATTAGCAACTGTAGGTCATAATACAAATTCAAACAACTGGCATAACTTGACAATATTACATAAAGAAAATAATATCACAATTATTTTTAACGGCGAAACAAACAGTTATGATTTGGCTGGAACAAAAAATTTTTTATACATAGACCCCGAAATTTATGTCGGTGGTGCCCCAACACTTTCTAAAAAACGTGGTATAATAAATAATTTTTTTAATTTCAATTAAAATATATCTAAACATGTTATAACTATACAAAAGTGTCTTATATTTTCAGGTTTGAAATCTCATAATAATTTTGTGGGTTCTTTAAAATATGTTTTCTTTAATGATATATCAATATTATATGAATTAAAAAGAGGAAATCCAAAAGTACACTATATTGGCTTTTTATCACCAGAGTTAACAGAAACTGAAGTTGACATGATTCCTATGACTCTACCTTTTCCATCTTCACATATTTTATGGCCAGTCGAATCTGCTAATCATATAAGTTTAATGTTTGATTTTAAAAGTCATAAACACATGGCTATTTTATTATCATCTCCTGTGACAACATCACAATTTACTCAGAATGTCTCAGGATTTTGGGAAGTAAGCAATATTTATTTATTACATAGTATTTTATTTATTTGAATTAATTGATTAAATATATGTTTGTAAGTTGCTGATGGTAAACAATGAAATTCGTTTTGTACTTACACCATCAGTTAGTAAAAATTTCACACATCTAACAACAGTTAAATATGATTTAAACAATGAGGGATCATGGCATAAAGTGTGGTTAAATTATACTAAAGGCATTATTTCATTAAGCATAGACAACAATAATAAGACTAATTTTTTGAATGGTATTCAACATTTTTTGGCCGATCGAACTATAACTATAGGTAGTGGAATTGGAGGCAAAGGAAATTTTGGTATGGCATTGTAATAAAAGAAATTTAAAATAATTTTGTATTTAAAATATAAAATATAAAATTATTATAGGTCTTGTAGGTTGTATAAGAGAGATTTGGTTAGATGGCATATTTTTAGAGTCTAGATATGTAGTTAGAACTAATAGAACGACTGGTCAAGTTTCTATTGATAATTGCCAATTAGTAGATCCATGCAAGAGACCAAATGCTTGTGAACATGATGGTAAATGCTCAGTTGTGGATGATAATGTAATTTGTGACTGTAAAGGAACCGGATATATTGGAAAAAACTGTCATTTTGGTAAAAATATCTTGTTCTTCATTAATTTGAATATATTTGAATATAATTGAATGCTTTAGCACAGTTTCGTAAGACATGCGAAGAACTTGCTCTTTTGGGTTACACTAAGCCTGATGTTTATTTAATTGATATTGATGGAAATGGAAAATTTCCTCCAGCTCATGTTAAATGTGAATTTGGGGTTCAAGGAGATTCAAAGACTATTGTTGAACACAATTTACCCAGTCAAATTGTAAATAAATATAAAAATTAATAGTTTTGTATATAATACATTCACAGGTATCATTAATAAATATTTACTTATGTAGGATGTTAGAAATGCAGGTCAATCAGATTTTAGTTTTACTATAACATATAGAGATTTTCCTCCAGAAATGTTAAAGGAGCTTATATCACACTCATTACACTGTAGTCAGTATATAAAATATGATTGTTACAAAGCACCTCTTGATCTTCATTCTGCAACTTGGTTTACTTCTGCTGCCCAAGAAGAACTTATCAACTTTATTGGTTTTGCTAAACGTGGAACTTGTCCATGTTCAAGTATTTCTTATTTCTTGATTTTTAATTATTATTTGTGTAAATTCAATGTTTGTTTTTATTATTTATAGTGAATAAATCATGTTCAAATAGTTCAAATTCATGCAATTGTGATTTTGCAGATGCAAAATGGCATTCTGATGAAGGGCATTTTCAAACTTCTAAATATGGGGGTTTAGGAATAACAAAAATGTTTTTTTTACAACAAGAAAATTTACAAATTGATTCTCTAGGACGTATAACTTTAGGGCCTCTTGAATGTGTTGAAACAAGTTAAGTTTTATTAAAATTATCATAAAAATGTATTACAACAAATTATTTAACATTTTCAGACACTCAAAAATATGTTGTAACATTTACAACTAGTCAATCTTATATTGAAGTACCAGGTTGGAGAAAAGGAGACATAGCATTTAGTTTCAGAACTACTGGTGAAAAAGCGATTCTCCTATATCAACCTCCAATTCGAAGACAGCATCCTTCTTTTATGGTTGCACTCACAAGTGGTATGTTATACATAGGTACATTTAATTTATTGTGATTTTGTAGTAAAATTATTTTATTTTCATAATAATATAAACAGGTTTGAAATCTTTTTGAAAATGTTTACAAATTACAAAATTTCAATAATTACATGATTTTATTTTTTTAATATGTGTGGTATTCTATGTTAAATTTAGATTTTCGATTGACTTTTAATTTTACTTTAAATTCTGGAAAATCAAGGGAAATGGAAGTGAAATCAAGACGAAGGTTGAATAACGGAGAATGGCAGAAAATTTGGATTGATTATAATTCTCATCATGTACGTTTCATGATTAATACAGATTATGAAATGATTGATCTTTTACCGAATGAAAAATTTGGACCTTTTGAAGGAAGTATGTATATTGGTGGAGCTACAGAGTAAGTATTAATTTATATCAATTATAATATTATTCGATTAACAGTTACAAATTAATTAAATGGATTTAGAGACCTCCTTCAAGTCACAACTGTAAGTCAAGGTTTAATAGGATGTTTTCGGGGATTAGTAGTTAATGGCGAAATTTTAGATATTTATTCATATATGAGTGTTCATTTATCAGAAATTATAAAACAATGTAAGCCGTCATGTGCTCCAAATCCTTGTAAAAATGGATCAAAATGCAAAGAATTATGGAGTACATTTCTATGTGTTTGTGAAAATCCTTGGGCTTATACTGGAGTACTATGTGAAAATAGTTGAGTATCAATATTCTATAATATATATATCAGTTTTATAATATACCTACCTTTTGCATTTTTATTTTATATTTTTAGACATTAATATACATGGTTTAACATTTATAACGAGAGAGTCATATTTTAAACGAAATTATTTTATTAACAATATAACTGAATTAAGTCAAGAATCTTATTACAAACTTTTGACAAAAAATATTTTAATGAATTTAAGAACATATGATAAAAATTCATTAATATTACATGCGAATGATCATTTAAACAATTTTGTACAACTTTTCATTATGAATGAAAATTCTGTTGTGTTGGTGTTTAACCATTTTCATAAAATTTACAACATAACTGTGAAATATCCAGGTAACTTTTAATTATTGTTAAATTATAAAACACCTTACTAAATTAAATAATATTAGGATTAAATCGGGGACAATCAATTCAACTAGCTTTGGTGAGAACACAAAATGTTACTATGTTGCATGTAAATGAAGTCAATAGTTCTGTTCCAGTTGGTTGTAGTTTATTGGCAAATTATACAAGCAAGCCTTGGTTAAATCCTGAACTAGGTACATAAAATTAGTTTCTTTTATAATGGTATTGATATAGTTGTAATTCTGTGTCTTAATTATGTATTTTTCTAATTACATTTCAAGAAATTTTATCACCACAAAGACCACCAGCTCCTCCTACTGAATATTTTCAAGTAAATATTGGTGGATTTGATCCAGAAAACTTAATTAGTAGTAAAAAAGATTCTCAAATCTTAATGGGTTATGTTGGTTGTATAAGAGGATTAAAAATAGATGATTTTGTTGTCACCTTTAGTAGTCTCGGCTTAGCTAATTCTTCATTTAACACTTCTAAAGAAAAAGGTATTTAAAGAAATCATAAGTATAATTAGCTAAGTATTTCTGTTAGTTAAAAAATAAATCAATTTTATAGAACTTAGAGGTATAATATCTGGTTGTTATATGAAATGTGACGAACAACAGCCTTGTAAAAATAAAGGAATTTGTATTGAAAACTTTCAGAAAGGAGGAAGTTCATGTGATTGTGAACATACATCTTACTATGGCGATTTTTGTGATTTAGGTATAACAAAATACTGTATTTTATTGTATTAACACTGTTAATTTGATAAAATATTTAAATATCATGTCTTTTATTTAGATAAAGGTGCAGATTTTAGTGGTGTTTCTGTTTTACGGCGAAAGTTTCTTCTTGAAGGACCAGTAACACAAGTTAAATTAAATTTAGCTTTTTCAAGCAGTGACAAGAGACAGCGAAGTACAGTTTTATTACTTATACAAACAGAGAACAAGTAAATTTAGATTTAATATTCCATATAAAATCATTATTCATAGTAAATATCATATAGTAGATAAACAGACATTACATAAATAGAAAACTATTATAAAAATGCATAGTAAAAAGAGCTGATAGTGGGTTTGAGTGTACCACTGTTATAGATGGAAATTGGAAAAGTAGGATATACGAAGTTATTTAATTTATATACATATATATATATATATATATATTTTATTTTAAATACAAGGCCTCCACTACACTGGTCATTGGCTACGATTATCATGATACATAATATAGATTTTTAGTACATTATAATTTATGAGTATACAAGTTTTTAAAAAAAAAAAATACAATGGAGTGAAAGGAGAAGAAAAAAGACATCCTAGGATAATAAGGACAGATGCAGCCACTGTTATAGTTAATTTAATTTATATCTATAAGTAACCTAACCTAACCATTGCGTATAAAAATAATGATTATGAGCAGTCTTGTGTATAGTGAACCTTTGCCAATAAAATACATGCCATATTATAGTCAAATAATTAAATAGGATTTATATATTTTCATTAATAATAATTGTTTAATGTTGTACCAATTTGCCCATGTTTTTTCCCAGTTTTTCACTTTTGCTGTGAAAAATCCTGAAAAAATCGAAAAATAACCTCTCCAGTCGGATTTCCTTTTAGAAAAAGTGCTATCATTGTAAAATGGAGCATAATTGCCGGTAGAAAAGTTGGTCATAGAAAAACATATTATTTGATTTTGGATTTATATTATGAACTTTAAAAAATTGCTCTATTCTTCTGATAATTGGTATATTTATGTTGGTATGTAAGTTATATGGATTTGTATTTCTAATATTTAATAAAGTTTTAAAGATAGGGTTGGCCAGGTAATAAGCTATTTTGATTGAATTCTGAAGTTCATGTAATTGACATATTATTTCTAGAGAAGTTAGCACAATTAGCAAGAAAGAAATTGGAAATTTCTTCGAGACCAGCAGACTTTGATTTTACTATTGAGTGTAGACCAGCCGATGTATCATTGAGTGGAATATTGCAGTTGGATAGTAAAGAAAACTCAGAAGATGGGTCATTGTGAATATTTATTTGATGAATGTGACCAAGAGGAGTAAGCTTGTATACGGATGAAAATTGTGGCGTACTTGAATTTTAATGTGAATTTTAACGTGAATAGACCTGAATTTTACTGCTTACTCATTTAAACCTATTAAGTATTAAGTATTAATAATAGTTTTATTCTTTAAGAAGAATAAAATAAATAATAGCCTTATCTGAACTAATTTCATTTATTTCTGATCTCTTAAAGTTTGGATCGTTGTTATAATTTGTATCATGTTGGTCTCTACTTTCTACATCAAGTTTAGGTTTTTTTATTATCCCCTTATCCATTGTTAATGTATTTAAAAAAAAAATAAGTTTTAACAACGTACTTGTCATAATTTCGTTTGTCACTAAGTTTAATGGTTCAATGGCTAACATTAATCGCACAAAATAAAATACGTGACGGCGATAATACCAATTACCCATAATGCCGATTACACCGTTCGTCCACGTCCATATCTACACTATTTTTGTAGAAATACTTATATTCCCGTAAGTACCCACATTTTACTAAAATAGAATAGAATATTCTAAAATCAATGGCTGTATCATTTAATNAAAATACAATTAATTATAAGTACCATGCATTTTAGTTTTCTCATATAATAAATAAATTCATAAATTCTAAAAATTTCGGGGGGGTTTGATCTCCAAACCCCCCCCTCCGTTAGTATGCCACTGGATGAGAATTAAGTAGAAAAAAGATTAGAGATATCTAACTCGTTTTTGTCTTCAAAATCATTTAAATGTATGGTATTTGGTATAGTGTTTGATTGTGTGTTCAATGAGAACTATTTTTAGAAAATATTTTTCTGGTTAAAAATTAGATTTTTTTTCAAACTGGTGTATAAAATCCTTATATGCTAATTATGATTTTTTTTTTTTTTAATTTTTCTCGATAGTAAGAGAAATTTGTGTAGTTGGGAAATAATTTTATTCATGATATAGTTTTTGTGTGCTTTTATCTTTTTCCATATAAGTGATTTTATCTCTTTGGTGAACCAGTCTGGGAATTCGGAATGAGAATTAAGTATTGATGTAGGGATAAATTTGAGTAAGTATGTATGTAAAGCATCGTGAAAGATAGTGGCAGAGGTTTCAGTATTGTTATTACATAAGGTTTCTTCTTCAGTTAAAATAATTTAAAATGAGTTGATGTTAGTATAATCAGCTTTGAGATAGTTTTAGAATGATTGATTAAAGAGGAGAGTGTTTGTATTTACCAGTAAATTGACTGAAATTTGAAAAGTAGGGTATCGATATGTTTTAAAAGGTCATAGTGGACTTCGGTTGAACAGTTATTTATATTAGAAAATATTAAATCTAGGAGATTTCCTGACGGGTTTAAAATATTGTTAAATTGAGTTAAATTTAGAAATGAAAAACTCTCGATAATAGTATAATTTGTAGGCGAAGAAAGAAAATTAGTGCATTTATATCCTAGTTTGTCTCTGATCCATATAAGAGAGGGAATGTTATAGTCCCCATAGATCAAAAATTTGCGAACTCAAAATGTGAGCGACGTGCGTAATCAATATTTTGAATTATTATGTACCGTAGTACCGTGGCGACACTGTTTAAGAGACGTTTATGATGGAACTGGTAATTGTGTTGTGTAACCTTGATCGTTTATTTTACTAGTATTTAATATTCAATATATTACAAATTGCAACCAAGTTATTAAGTGATCACGCACGTCCTCATGATCAAAATACTAAGCGGTAAAAAAAAATTAGAGTTGCATTTTAAACTGCTCATAGAATTTTTTGATATCGTAACCTCACGATGTTTACACTGTTTACAGAAGTATACATAAAAAAATATTGAATACATGAAAACATAAATAACAGATCGCGTTTTACAGATCGCATGTTAGGTTAGTGTTGTTAAATATTTGACAATTAATAGATAACAATAATATGTTATACAACGAGAAGAAAAAGTGTCAGTATTGTTAATTAGTGTTTTTTTTTTTTTGAAAAAATAAAAAGATAAATAGAATAAAATAGTATTTATTGGTGCGATTTGTGGTTTTTTTGATATAGAGATAAAAGTTAAAAAAGTGAAAGACGGGGGATAAAATTTAAATGGTTTTGAATACCTCTAAAAACCTCTTTGTAAAACCAATACTATCAATTTGGTTATGCTGCATAATGATCATTCGCATAGATAATAAAATAGTTATTATCTATGGTTACCCAAGATATCAAGGCACATTATAGACGTGACGTAAAGACCGTTTTTACATTTTTTTATGGCGGAAAAATATTTGTGGAATCATGATATTAAATTTCGACATCCGACTTAAATTATAATTACATTATTTAAATTAGCTATAGTATTCTCAGTTATTGCTGTTAATGAATTAATCAATCGTATTTTGCCCTTTTCGCATATGGCTATCAGACTTCATAGGTCTTATGAGACTTTAACACAGAGTTGGCTATCTAGTAGTTTTATATATATGTGCCTTGTTGTTATATATATACTTTGTTATCGGCAGCTATAAATGTGATAACGGATAAAAGAGAAACACGCGAGCTGCTAGTACGATTAGCGGAACACAAACTCTAATTTATATTATTGTAAGCAACAAAAAACCATTGCTAACGAAAAACAATTCGGAGCGAAGTTCGGTTATACACAATATTTACGATGTTCGTTAAAATTTGGTATTAAAACTCTTAAAAAATAAATACTACATTACTCATTGTTTTTTTTTTTTAAACATTAAGTATTTATAATGAACTTCCTGTTAAATTTCAATCATTTCTGTTTAGTCTAGCAATTTTATCAACAAATATCAGTTACGTAAAAACTTGCAAAATTAAAATGTTTCTAAATAATTCAAAAATGACTTAAATTTTTGAAAATTTTATTTCGTTTAGAAAAAGTAAATATAAGTTTTCTGTTAATATTTAAAGTTTTTTGAATACCTATATTATACTTATATATCTATATTGCAACCTATATTAAAAAGTCCATAAATAGATGGATTATTAGATAAAATAAATTTTAGTGTTGACATTTTTGATTTCTGTCAAGCCGTTAACGAGATATTCCATTTTTAAGTTTGGGTTGGAGGAGATTAATGGAGTATCATTTGTGTGACTGTACGGCGCGCAGCGTTTTAATAACGCACCATTACGTTCTTCTAATCAAAACTGAAAAGTGGAATATCTCATCAACAGCTTGACAGAAATAAAAAATGTCAACACTAAAATTTTGAAAATTTCAACTAATACTTCATCTATTTATGGACTTTTTAATATAGTTTGTTATTTTAAAATCAAAATTAGGTAGTGGTTTTATCTTCGAAAATAAGGCTGACAAAAAATAACCTAAATATAAAATTGTAGAGAAGCTTGTTTCTTAAATATTCTAGAACACAAATTCCAAAAAAATTAAGACTTTTCAAGAATTAGTGTACCCACTTAAATGGATCAGGTGGTATTTACGGCGTGTCGTAACGTTAGGTACCGATTTCATTGGTTTTAATTTTTGCAAACTATGTTTTCTAACAGAAATATTGATTTAATCAAAAAATGCCAAGAAACCATTTTGGCATTTTGCATTTTGGATCTAAATACTCACGTAGTAGACGTTTATTGATATTCTAAGTAGTCTTCATAATGATTGGGAAAATCGGAATAAGACGAAAAATAAAAACTGATAAATTTACGGCGTTAATATTCCTTTATTATTCCGAAATAATGAGTGTATTCAATTTAATGGATCACCTAGTATAATGGTATATATATATATATATATATATAATGAAACCAATACATTATAATACTAGTATAAAATATAGTATTAAACTTAATATTTACAATAAGTCTTTTTGATTTTAAAAAATATTCATGGGAAATTATAGTTTAGAACCATTTTAATATTGTTTTAATAAATGTCTAATATACATTTTATAAATGTTCTGATTTTTTAAAAGTTAGCCAGTATTTTATTATTTTCTAAAATAATCATATGATAGCATAAATATAACACATAATACCTGTATACATAATTTTTTGTGTAGGAGAAGTTACTATTTAATTGTTGCGTTGAACGAAAAAGGTGAAATGATTTTTGAAGAAGATCGCGAGGGAACAGGAGGAGCATTTGGTGCACGTATTAAAGACAGAAACTTTTTAAATGGAGCAAGACATTCAGTTTATTATAAACGTACAGATAGAAGTTCAATACTTATGGTAATTATTTTTTTACAATGTATTCATTGATTTATTGATGAGGAACGCTTTAGTTTATTGATTTTTTAAAAGTATTAGACTTAAGATAGTTTTGCATATATATATATATATAAACATCCTTTATAATTGGTGTAACCAGAATAATTTACGTTCAAATATTTTTAAATGCAAAGTATTAACCTTCTCAAATAAACGGACACTATATCTTTATAATTACAATTAAATGACTCTGAACTCGCTCTTGTTTATAGGAATAATGACATGGGTATAATTTTTGATGCAATACTATTGTTTAACGAGTATTATTTAAATATCCAAAAGCTTCTTCTATGCTTAGTTTTATACATTTAAGCTATAAAAGTTTTAATAATCTATATCCATATGCATTAAAAATACTTTGTTGCTCATATTATGTACAATTAATTTTGGATTATAACTCTAAAGTTTAGTTACCTAGGAATATTGGTTCGATACAAACAATAGAGTTGAAACAAAATCGTTTTTAAGATTTTTGTCATTTAATTGCGATATTCAACGTCGATTTCACTCCTCTAACCTCTTACTAGCCATTATTATCTCTTTTAAACATTGAACTGTTGGTGATACGAAGAAAAAGGTTAGATCTCTGTTTCATTTTTAAACTACTCAATGGACAAGTTTATTGTCCTGAATTAAGTTTGAGATTAAATTTTTCTGCACTAGAAAATTGTGTCTGTTCTACGACAGAAAGGTATCGTTTCGCGCATGTCGAATGAACTGTGAACGATTGTCGCGCTGTTAAATCCCCCCCCCCACATAATCGCTGCAGTTTACGACGACAAGTTATACAATGTGCTAAAATGATTAACAATTACTACGTTTACATGTACAATTAAAGGCGATTTAAAAATTAAAGTGGTTTAATCAAGCATCATGTAGTCGCTTTAAAGCGACCTTAATAAAGTAAACCGGTTTTAATTGAATGACGCTCGAATATGTGGTTTAACGAAATTAAATGGTTTTATAAATAAAATCTGTTATATTTTTATATATGTAAATGGTACTTTGGCGGGTTACACCAAGACAAGTTTAATGATAAAGTAATAAAGAAACGTTTATTTACGACATAACAAAATTAAACAAGTGCTCACCAGTTGACTGCTTATGGCGCGAAAACAGGCGAGCACGCATTTATTAGAATAACATGAGTGGTAAAAATCAATTATACATGATGTTCGGAGTCGGAAAACAATGTTTCGCGAGCGGCGACGGTGCGAAGATGGCGAGCGGAGCTGTGGCCGATGACTATTGAACGCCGACGGCGAGGGGAATGTCCGACGTCCGCCGCGAGTGACGCGCAGCGGGAAGCAGAAATGTGGCGCGAAACCCGCCACAGTACAATCACTTTTATTTTGATAAATGATATTTATTTTATTGTGATAACATAAATCATGATACATATTATTCAGATTTTAGTTTTATAAATATTAATTACGACTTGAATATTAAAGATTCACATGTAAACAGGTCAGGCAATTAAGTCGACTCATAATAAAATATGTTTAAATTAAGAACGCTTAATTCATATCATGTAAACGTAGTAAATAATCATTATTTTATCTACTATTATATTATCATTATTTTTTATACTATTATGCGATACATTTACAACAGCTTAGTCTTTAATGTAGAAAAGATTTCTGATAGAACATTTATCCACAGAAAAACAATCGTAATATTATAAAAATATATTTTCTACATTTTCCCGTTTTTTTTTTTCGATTTTTCGCATTTGCTGAGAAAACTTTTGAGAAAATCGAAAAATCATCCCTTTAAGGGACCCCTTCACACCGATTTCTTTTCAGAAAAGTTGCTATACGTAAAAATCGGAGCAAGTCTTCTGGTTGAAAAGTTGTCCACAGAAAAAAAAATTAACATCTTTGTAAAACCATAAGCTTCTTCGCTCCACTCAGAATTTAAAATATATATAACTGTTGATATGTTTAATGTATATTTAAATAATTTAATAAATTAGTTTATAAGAATAACCAGAAGTCCAGAATATATGAATGATGTATTTTCAGAGATAAATATCTATACAAATAAAACTCAAGTACTACAAAAATCAAATTTTGACGAAACTTGTAATTATCACTATCTTTTAAACATGTATAACTGAACTCCGCTCATAATCATTTTTCGTTAGCAAAGATTAATCGTTGCGTAATCGATTTTTAAAATAAAAATATAAATTGCATGGCATTATAAATTATTTTCGTCAATTGTTCTGTCGGTATTTTAGTTGTCGGTCGATTGTTTTGTTGGTCGGTTGTCTCTGTCGGTCAATTGTTCTGTCAGTCGATGGTCTCTGTCGGTATTTTACCTGTCGGTTGATTGCCAATCTCCTATTATTATTATTGTACATAAATTGCTACATACATGTGTTGTCCATCATCTCTGTAAAATAAATAATTGCTTTTAAAATGTAAATTGTATCTTATATTAATAAAAAAGTTAATTTCATCCGAGTTAATCTAATGTCTTTTTATTTAAAAACTAAAGGTGAAACAGCCCCAGTCAGTTTGCCTTAGCATATAATTTTGAGCACATTGTTATTTAAACCCATAGTAAAATAAAATTGCACATACCTGCTAATATAAATTATAATACATTGCTAACAACTACCAATATCCACACATGCAAAAATAAATATAATCAGTCGTTTGGTTTATTGCAGAAGGCTTACTGAGTGTGGGCCTAATTTTTTTAAATTTTAATATGAAAAACAAACAAATGATACAAAAAGTTCATATGTTATCAGATAATAATTTTTACTGATAACATTTACATTATATCATAATATTACCATCTATGTACTTCTAAATATCTTAAAAAATCACCATTTCATGTCGTAACAATTATTGAAAACCGAATAAATCAGTTTGCTCTTTTGCAATTTGTCAAACCTATTTAATAAGGTGTAGTAACTAAGATTTTAATTTAGACAACTGTAGACTACTGATCTTCTTATATTTCATATAAATGGGTATCATGCCCTTCCAAATAAATAAATACATAAAATGTAAGTTCTATTAGGAGATAATATTATATATTTAATTAATAGCCTTTCAAAAGGCTAAAATCAAATTATAAAACAAATTAATTATTAACTTAATTTATAATCATTATTTTCTTTTATAGGTTGATCGGGATCCCATTGAATTAAAAAAAATCCCAGTTTTAAGTTTAACTGATACATTAACAGATATCACAGCTGGTGATAATGAAGTACAAATTGGTGGACTAAATACAACTGATCCACGGTTTGCTTCCTATACAAGTTATAGTGGATGCATTTCAAGTAATTTGTATTGTAATATAATAATGTATTCAATATTGATAAAATGTGTGAAAAGTGTACTAGGTTGTTTAAATGGGTTATAAATTGGATTTTTCCAATGAAAATTGTAAAAGTTATAAAGTTGTACATTTTAGATTCTAAGTGGAGTGGATGTTTTTTTTTTGTGTTGACGACTTTTCTATTAGCAATTTTGCTCAGATTTAAAATGAAAGTACTTTTATTAAAAAGAAATTTGACTGGAGTGGTATTTTGAGGAGGTCAATTTTCGATTTTCTCAATAGTTTTCCCAACAAATGTGAAAAATCGAGAAAAAACATGGGAAAATCAGGAAAATTGGGAAAATAGATCAAATATTAAATAAATATTATCAAAGAAAATATATAATGCATATGTAATTATTTTACCATAATATGACATGTATATATGTATGTTGACGAAGCCACACTATCAACCGAACTCCGCTCAGAAGCGTTTTTTTGCTAATAACGGTTAGCAACGGTCTTTGCTTAAAGAAATAGATTCAATTTATTTTCTACTGCCTTCTCAACTTCTCACCTATCAGTGGCTGCACTCGTCTCCATAATCTTAGGATAGCTTTTCTAATATTAATATCATATTACAATGATTATTAATTATTGTTAAATTAAAACATCGATTAAGTATATACATGTTACTGTGAATGTCAAAATTTACATAGCGATATTGTTGAATGTTGGTAATATTGGTTGTTAAATGTTATTTTTGACATAATGGGAAAGTCAGAATGATAATATATTATTATTATTAAAATACTATAGTAGGTATACTAACTCTTATATAATATTAAGTATTGTACAAGTTAGTTAATTTAGTACAATATTTACCCAATAACTTTTATAATATTATTATCTAGATTTACAGTATATTTATTTATAAAACCATATCCTCCATTTTTTTTAAAAATAATAATTTTTATAAGATAAAATAATCATTATTTAAATTGATAATACAAAATATATAATAGTGTCTAATAATAATAATTTGTTTATTATATTAAACATAATATTACATTTCACGTATTTTCTATAATCCATACCAGGCATGTTAAACTCAAATTATTACTTAAGTCTAAACATCTGTATAAACAAATTTGTGGGCCGAAAAAAAAAAAATTCTAAAATAATTGAATTTATTATGAATAATTAAATATGTTTGCATTTTATTATTATATTAATATAAATTTTTCATACAAAATTAGAAAAATTAAAAATATACAAATTTAGGTTTTGAATGGAGTGAAGAAGTTTGTATGGTTTTACAAAAATGTTTTTTTTTTTTAACTGTACGCAACTTTTCTAAAAGAAAATCAGACTCGGGGGGGTACTTTAAGGAGGTAATTTTTCGATTTTCCCTAGAGTTTTTCTAGCAAATTTGAACAACAGAAAAAACATGAGCAAATATTATTAAAGAAAGCATATCCTTTTTTGTACATATTAGAGGAGTGAGTCGATTTAGTTGTACGTGAGTGTATTTAATATAATATCTAAATAATGCCGATTTAAGAACGATGGTGAAGTCAGAATTAAGGTGACTTAGTTTCAAAATTATAGCTTTTTGAAGTTCTAATATTGCGCGGGGATATTATATGTGTTATGTTAAATAACTCAATATAGTCACTTTTAAAGTATGTCTGTCATAGTCCAAGGGAGGCAGGCACCGCTTGTCATCTTAGAGATCGCAAGTACACACCCGAGTTTCGGAAATTTTTTTGCAAAAATCAAGCGGGTAGGTAATAACCTAACCTAACCTAACATAGAGACCCAAATCGTCTCGATCAGAATATTTTAATCGAAAAATACCACTTGATTTCTTGTGCAAACTTTTCTACAAAAAAAAATTGCTCCGATGTATTAAGTGTAGCACCTTTTATGAAAGGAAATATTATTTATCTATATGGTACTTCAAGGATTTCGTTTTTTGATTATTCAAGCGGTTTTCGTAATAATTGGGAAAAACCGGGATAAATGTTGGAAAAACAGGAATATTTAAGAAAATAATGCTTTTATAATTTAGTTAAAAATATTCGCAGTTTTAATTATAGGTTAATTAAAAATATGAAATTCTATAATAAGAAAATAATTTTACTACCTATACGAAACAATATGTGTTTACTGTGTAATTCATTGTATTCAATTTATAAATATTTATTTTACTATAGGATGACAATTATATTATTGAAAAAGCAATACTATTAACCGAGCTCTGCTCAGAATCGTTTTTAATTAGCAAGGATTAATCTTTGCTTACAGATATATATATTAAATTCCCCTCTTTATTCTACCTTCCCAACTTCTCACACACATTAGAGGTCCACTCATCGTGTGAAGTATCTCCGTCTCTTTTTAAATATTAGTTTTTAAACTGCTTTTAAATATACTATAAGTTCTTTAGTACAGATATATTAGAAAAACATGTATTTTAATTATAGATGTATTTTTGGAGGTTAATTATAATGCAATGAGACCGTTGGATGAATACATGCTATTTACAAAGCCAGGTAGTGAAAAAGTAAATGTAACAAATCCTCAAGGAGTTCGCAGTGCTCAATGTGCTTCTTTTGATGATATAAATAAACCTAGACCCGGCCCTTCATTAAATATAAGCTATGTAAGCTATAAGAAATTTAACTTTTCATTCTAATATTTGAACATTTTTGAAATACATATTTTATTTCAGGGAGTAGAACAAGCTTGGGTTCTCGATCCTCCAGCTCATATGCCTTATGATTCTAAGTATGCAAAGGTGTTTCCTCGACAAGATAATACATTTAATGGTATGTTAAAATAAATAAATATTTTTTAATGGAATGTCTAAATGAATAATAAATACAATTCAAAGTAAACCGTTGTTTAAAAGAACTTATTATGGACATATTATATACAAATTCCCTTTTCCTGACCGGGCACTCTACCATTGAAATTAATACAACAAAGGTCATAATAAAGTAGAATAACAAGTAGACGATTGATACAATCGTTTTATATTGGATATTGTCTATGCTCAAATATTAAGAAAACTGCATGGAAAATCAAAAAACAACATTCTCACATGACAATAAGATCAAAAATTCAACAAGAAATTTCTCCTGTCGTTTTTCAATTGGAGCAATATTTCTGATAAAAACTTAAACAATACAAATTTTAAATAATGAAATCAAAAATCATGCCATACATTTGTTAGTTTTTGTTTGTCTTTTTCGGGGTTTTCCCAATTGTTATGAACTCTTAATTTTTCAGTAACTAGATCCAAAATAAAATGAAAAAATTCTTTGTTTAGTTTTTGATTGAAACAGGTTTTTTGTCCGAAAAATTACAAACTAATATAAATATTAGAAACGAATTATAAATAAATTAACCCAATATATGTTTTATAAAAATTAAATACTAAATTAACACAACATTTATTTTTATATTTGGTTTTGAGTTGTCACCACGGTAATGGCTAGTTTTTTATTTCTTGTCGTAATGTCTGTGTCATACCATGCATATCGCACTAATGTAAAATGGAAGAAACAACGAGATGAAGAAATTAATGCTGAAATAGTAAGAAATAAACGTCAGTCAATTCAGATGCAAGAAGGATATAAACTTGTAAAAGTAGAATACTCTTAAATACTTCTTATTTCATAGGTGTGCGTATGAGGGTAGAAGGTACAACACTTTCATAATCTGTTTTATGCTGCTGTAAATTTTAAATCCATAAAAGTAAATTTTTTACAAATAACTTATGTTCATTAATTGATAAAAAAGTAAATTTATGTATTAAATAAATATTATTTTATCAGGAGACGGGATATTTATTGTTGCTTATTATTGTTAAATGTATTACTACATTTATCTATTTTTAGATTCTGAGTGGAGCGAAGAAGTTTATGGTTTTACAAAGATGTGTATTTTTTTTTCTGTATACAACTTTTATACCAGAGATCTTGTTCTGATTTTTAGATGTAGTACCTTTTCTGAAAAGAAATCGATGTGGGGAGGTACTTTAAGGAAGGTAATTTTTCGATATTTCCTAGAGTTTTCCAACAAATATGAAAACCGAAAAAAAAAACGGGAAATTTATGAAATGTAGGTATTATATAGTTAAAAATATTACGGCCTTCATTTTTCCTATGGATTACTTTTCTACCAGCAATTTTGCTCCAGTTTATAATGATAACAATGTTTTTAAAAGGAAAAAAAATGAGAAAACTGGGAAAACCGAGAAAATCGGTACATTAAACTAATATTATTAAAGATAAAATATAATACTTATTGAATTGTTTTACTATAATATAACATATATATTTTTGACAAAGTATCACTATCAATTGAACTCCGCTCAGAATAATTTTTTCGTTAGCAATAGTTTATCATTGCTTACAGATATACATTTAATTACTTATAACAGTGGTTGCACTCGTCCCCATTATTTTAGGACGTCTTTTTTTAAATACTAATTAACTAATTCTTTAGTTTAATAATGTTTTTAATAATTTAGAATAATGTATATTAGTAAATTTGTGTATGTATTATTATTAATTTGTATCAATTACTTATACCTCAATATTTATCTCAAAGCATATATATTATTTATTATACCTCATTTTTATATTGTATTATTTGTTTATCCTGTGACATTGCAAATGGAATTTTAATGTTCAAAAGAAAGTTGGTTCTAGTTGGTTTTGATCAAATTCAAAATTATGCTAATCTGTATATTATGTTGTGTTTAAAACCCTGCGCACGCCTATATTTCATTGATTTGATAGAATTTTAATTAAATATCGATATTGACATTTTTTTTATTTAGGAAGATAAACTTCAACTGAATGGAATAAATATGGAAATGAAATCTTTAAATAAACAGCCTTTGCCTGTCATTAGATTTATCACTCCTGATGAAGATAACGATGGGGTTAATGGAATAGAATTACGAATTGAGCCAAGATTAAAACATTCGACCATTAGAGGTAAGTACTAAAGTATTATATATTTAATTTTTAACAAAAAAAATAAATTAGAATCAAAATACCTGAAGTACATGAACATTAATTTTTATAGAATATTTAAGTAAAGTTGATAAAACTTGGGAGCCTATTGAAGAAACATCTGAAATACTGGAAGATATCAGTGAAGTCAAACAATAATAATATAATAATGAAAATGATTTGTATTTTTATCAATATAAAACTAATATATGTACTTGTTAAAAATATCTAATTTTTATTATTTTATTTAAATTATTATTTATTATAATCATTGTTTTATAATTTATATTTATATATTTTGATACAACCTATGTTGATTTTTATTAATTGAATATATCCACATTTCGTAGTTAAAAAACTATACCTTTGTAACTATAGTGCCACTATACTATACCATGTATAAATCTAAAAGTGACTTCCTCAACAAACCAATTACATGAAAAATGCTGAAATTCGACAAAAGGATAGCTATCATCATTTTATGATAGGAGAAAGATTTCTGTTATTCACACACACACACACACATACACACACACAAAAACACAAAATCATAGTAAAATTAATACATTACTTTCTAAATTTTGAATTTAAAATGATTAATTATATTAAGACTAGTTGTCCTGCACAGCTTTGCCTGTGCATGGTATTGCAATTTATTTTAAAATGGCCGCCAGAAATTTTTTCCTGATAATCGACCCTATAACCACGCCCAATGTCGTATCCGACGTCATATATCGTACGTTCTTCTCCCATATCACCCCATATGATAACGAAATTCATATCGGCGACGATAATTTTACAATTTATCAATATTATGCCAGTAGGTATTCTAAAGTGTACCTGTCCGCATCTTGAACCTCATTGACGCCACTTAATTTAGCTTTTTTGTTTAAAATATTTATTTTATACACGATTTCGTTATTCTCTTATCTTTTCCGGGTACTATACCCGAAAATGGACGCCAGAAATTTTTTCCTGATATTCGACCCAATAACCACGCCCAAGGTCGCGAACGAACTATGAGTCATATCAGAACTTGACTCATCCCCCGCATAAAATTGTAGATATTCTGTTGATATACGTTATAATCTTATCTTTTCCGGGTACTATACCCGAAAATGGCCGCCAGAAATTTTATCCTGATAATCGACAATATAACCATGCCCAATGTCGTATCCGACGTAATATATCTACGTTCTTCTCCCATATCACCCCATATGATAACGAAATTCATATCGGCGACGATAATTTTACAATTTATCAATATTATGCCAGTAGGTATTCTAAAGTGTACCTGTCCGCATCTTGAACCTCATTGACGCCACTTAATTTAGCTTTTTTGTTTAAAATTTTTATTTTATACACGATTTCGTTATTCTCTAATCTTTTCCGGGTACTATACCCGAAAATGGCCGCCAGAAATTTTTTCCTGATAATCGACCCTATAACCACGCCCAATGTCGTATCCGACGTCATATATCGTACGTTCTTCTCCCATATCACCCCATATGATAACGAAATTCATATTGGCGACGATAATTTTACAATTTATCAATATTATGCCAGTAGGTATTCTAAAGTGTACCTGTTCGCATCTTGAACCTCATTAGAGCCACTTAATTTAGCTTTTTTGTTTAAAATTTTTATTTTATACACGATTTCGTTATTCTCTAATCTTTTCCGGGTACTATACCCGAAAATGGCCGCCAGAAATTTTTTCCTGATAATCGACCCTAAAACCACGCCCAATGTCGTATCCGACGTCATTTATCGTACTTTCTTCTCCCATATCACCCCATATGATATAGAAATTCATATCGGCGACGATAATTTTACAATTTATCAATATTATGCCAGTAGGTAATCTAAAGTGTACCTGTCCGCAACTTGAACCTCATTAACGCCACTTAATTTAGCTTTTTTGTTTAAAATTTTTATTTTATACACGATTTCGTTATTCTCTAATCTTTTCCAGGTATTATACCCGAAAATGGCCGCCAGAAATTTTTTCTCATATTCGACCCAATAACCACGCCCAAGGTCGCGATCGAACTATGAGTCATATCAGAACTTGACTCTTCCCCCGCATAAAATTGTAGATATTCTGTTGATATACGTTATAATCTTATCTTTTCCGGGTACTATACCCGAAAATGGCCGTCAGAAATTTTTTCCTGATAATCGACCCTATAACCACGCCCAATGTCGTATCCGACGTCATTTATCGTACTTTCTTCTCCCATATCACCCCATATGATATAGAAATTCATATCGGCGACGATAATTTTACAATTTATCAATATTATGCCAGTAGGTATTCTAAAGTGTACCTGTCCGCATCTTGAACCTCATTGACGCCACTTAATTTAGCTTTTTTGTTTAAAATTTTTATTTTATACACGATTTCGTTATTCTCTAATCTTTTCCGGGTACTATACCCGAAAATGGACGCCAGAAATTTTTTCCTGATATTCGACCCAATAACCACGCCCAAGGTCACGAACGAACTATGAGTCATATCAGAACTTGACTCATCCCCCGCATAAAATTGTAGATATTCTGTTGATATACGTTATAATCTTATCTTTTCCGGGTACTATACCCGAAAATGGCCGCCAGAAATATTTTCCTGATATTCGACCCAATAACCACGCTCAAGGTCGCGAACGAACTATGAGTCATATCAGAACTTGACTCTTCCCCCGCATAAAATTGTAGATATTCTGTTGATATACGTTATAATCTTATCTTTTCCGGGTACTAAACCCGAAAATGGCCGCCAGAAATTTTTTCCTGTTATTCGACCCAATAACCACGCCCAAGGTCGCGATCGAACTATGAGTCATATCAGAACTTGACTCATCCCCCGCATAAAATTGTAGATATTCTGTTGATATACGTTATAATCTTATCTTTTCCGGGTACTATACCCGAAAATGGCCGCCAGAAATTTTTTCC